ATCGTGCTCCTGAAAGTCACTCGAGCAGCTTTAGGAGCAGCTCAACATCGGCGCAAAAAGGTAACTAAGTGAGGGCTGATCTTCAACCCTATTAAATTTGAGGTTCTCCGAATTGATATGGAGTTTGATGAAGCTCAGAAATCGGAGGGCACTTCAACCATGGCGACGCGGATGGTGACCATCCCGGGCCAGAACATCGACTGGAAGAGTGAATATAAATATTTGGGAATGACACTGAGACCGGGAAGGCAGTATCTCAAGAGGCATGAGACCAGACTACGAGCCACCACGAATTTCCGCAAGGGCTACCTGGGATGCAGAGCGCTCTGGGGTTTCAGCCGATATGAGGTTGTGCGAGCACTATGCAAGATGGTCGCGGTTCCCGGTCCGACTTTCGCAAATCCTGTGTTGTGCATGTCGGCGCGCAGGTGGGAACACCTGGAGGGGAAGCAGCGGGAGGTGAGCCGCCTCGCGCTTGGGACACACAGAACCACCACGGGAGAGTATGCGCAGGTCTTCTTTTGAGGCGTGTGAGGCCACCATCAAGCTAATTTATGAGAGGTGGTTATGCACGCTGCCGGAGCGCTGATGCGCCCACTAGGTGTGCAATCGTCAAAACATCATCACTCGATGGGTGAAAAGTGTGCGCCAACTCACGGAGCGTTTCCAAGTACCCTATGTGCTGCTGTATGAGGAAGCGGCGCCGGGCATGGCGATGCGAGGGCCAGATTGCGTGGCGAACGTTCAACTGGCCAGATCGGTCGCCGTGGCTGAAGCTCGGCCGTCCCTCGCAGTGTACGTTGCGAAAAAGAAGACCATAGTCTGCGAGTATTTTTTTTATAACTCGAGGGACAGCGAACGTTTGTGCGAAGCGCGAAGTAGGGTCCTAAGATTTCGCCAACTTCAAGCCATGTTCACGGTTGGACTAGAGACAACATGAGTACTGTGCAGTCAGGAGGAGGAAACGGACGTGCACATGTACTTCAGCCGCCAATGCCACTCGAGGTGCAAGACTATGCTAATGCTCTGGGCCTGCGAGAGAAAAGACCGGCGCAGCATGTACAACCGGTATGCACAATGCAGTGTATAGAGCCTACGACCAACCAGGCCGACGGAGAGCACAAGGTGGTCGTGAAGAATCTGGGAGTGCAGACCACGAAGCAGCGGTTAGTTAGGTGTGGTGCAGAACTGTAGGGAAGGCAAGAAGAACACCGGCGTAGGGAGGTGATAGTCTGAAATGATTTTTTTCTTTTTCTAGTTTATATGGCTAGGTCCCGTTTTAAGCTGTGATCAACCTCAATGAAGGGTTTAGCCTATAAAATCCAATTCATGGAATTTAATATTACATTCATGAAGCAGGGGACTATGAATTGTGATGCTAGTGATGGCAATGTTCAATGCATAATATGACGAAAGGACCCGCGTTACATGATTCACATTTTAGAGCGCAGCTCTTAGGCGCCCGTTTCCGGCTAGAGCGGCCTCGGCCTCGCCGTCGCTGTCGCCATCGCCGTAATCGCGCGTTGCATTATGGGACGTTTCTCATTATGACGTCACGAGTGACGTCACAAAAAGCACGAGTGACGTTACGAAGGTCCCGACCTTCACAGTGACCTTCACGAGGGTTACTAACGACACGACTGACGTCAAGAGGGAGGAGGGAGAGAGGGGGAGAGGGGAAGGAGGAGGGGAGGAAGAAGGGAGGGGGAGAAAGGGAGGAGGAGGGAAGAGGAGAGGAGGGGGAAAAGGAGGAGAGGAGGGGAGGAGGAGACGGTACGGAGCAGGAGGGCCTACCCTCCTCTCCGTACCCTCCCTGCCTCCCTCCCAAGAGCTGCGCTCCAATTCGGCGTTAGAGGGAATCGTAAACGCCTTTCATTTTTCTCGTTCTTTTTTGCATCTTCGTTTGCGCATTGGGTACGCGTCGCGGCGCCTATTCTTTAGGCGCACTTTTTTTTCGCCGGTAGCAGCGGGTCTACTGGAAGCCGGCCGCGGGCCGGTCGGTAGACTTCCGCGGGACCGGAGTTTGGGGACCCCTGCTCTAGATTCTTGAATTAGCCGTATACGGTGAGGGCCGCCGCCTACGTACTCCAATATACCGGATTCGCCAAGACAGTCGAAACGGCCGTCTCCGCTGTCTCAAAGGCTGTTCATACGAAAGATGCCGGCAGCCACCTCTCCCAATTCAAAGGGGAAAACGCGGGGGTTCCGCGCGTACAGCCGTTCTTACTGCGCAAAAAAACTGCCGACGCAAAGTCTATTGCATTTCCGCGGGTCAGATGAATTTCTTAGTAAAGCTTCTTGCCTATGGTGGTGGAGGCGCTAGGTGCAAAACGACAGCGACATCACCTGCAAACGGTGCGAAGCTTTGGTATATAATTTTTGTTATTGCAGAAGAAGCCATGCGAATGAAGGACAGCGACGACATGCCTAAAATACCCGCCCAGGTTATCGGCTCCGACGACGCTAAGAAGATAGTCGAGTAAGTTATCGTAGCATGTTATTGTTTTCTTTGTACGCTAAGGAAACGATGCTTAGATAACCGGGGAACTGAGAAAATTAGTTTATGCAATCTTCTTATTGCAATCACGTATTGTTGTTTTTTTTACTTTAGTTTTAGGAAATTCTTTTTACGGTGTGATTTAGTATGTTATCTCGTCGATTTATTGGGTAACATAGGTCAAGTGTTGCCATTCTATGGAATAAAACTGGGAAGGATAAAAAATTTAAGATATGTTTCGCTTGGGCAAGCTTGTCCTCACAGCAGCAATACAAAGATGAGTTGTACACTGGGACTGTAGTGTTATGGGGAGGGATGATGAAAACGTTCAAATAATAGTAAATGTGCAATTATATTTTGAAATTCACGCATTTTAAACAAAATTTAGTGATGCGAAAATGTCGAAATAAAATTTTATAACTAACAACTAGACAAATGATATATGAATACTCTTTTCTGTTACTTAAAGGGAATCTGAAGAACTTCTTGAAAAAGACGAGTAAGAGGTGAATTCTAGAGTATTTTTATCTCGTGAATCTGAATATCACGTTCGTTTTCCCCGGAGATTATAACTAAATAAGAGAAAACACGAAAAACCTCCAACTAGTCCTTACGCCATAAAATTATCTTTCTGCCGCCAAGCGTGCGCCTGTAGCTCTCGTGGGCAACGCGGGCAATTGCAAAGCTTGCCAGGAATATTTCTTGCACTGACACCAGTCCTTGACGTCGTTTTCTGATCTTTCTGAAAATCGCAAGAGTGCGCGCGCATAGCTTTGATAGGCGCCGAGGATGTGCGAGATGGGAGATTCCGAAAACCCATTTTATGACGTAACGCTTTGAGAAGGAGGGGCGTAAGCGGTACTGTGAAAATTATTTTCTGCAGCGTCCGTGCACCAAATTGAGGAATAATCTCAATATTCGTGATCCTGGAGGTCAAATAAAGAAGATTTAGGTGTTTTTACTCAAAGAACCGCTTCAGGATCCCTTTAAGACGTCTGTTGCCCAACCCCAGATATTGTTAAAAATATAATGGCAGTACACTGTGACCTTCAGCGAGGCATAGTTCAAATGTCAACTGGTTTCGTACATACACATCGTTTGTTTCGTATCAGTCACCAATAAAAAAAAAGGCAGGTTGATTGTGTTTAAGAGGCTATTGCTATTGATGTTTATGACTTTTAAATTTGCATTTTGTTTTTATAAACTAGCACTTTCCTGCTGACCACCAGAGACCGGCCGTAGGCCAGGTCAAGCTGCCTCTGAAAGTTTTTTGTCTAGGTGCTCCGTTGGCTTCTAGGCAATATATAAATTGATTGATTGATTGATTGATTTATGAGGGTTACACGTGAGTTACGCTTATCACAGATTCAGATCACCAGTTTCCGCGAAGTGTGTATACCGTGCTCATTTATTACTGTTGCATTTTCCTATACTAAACAATCAGCAGTGACATGAAACCTGATAATGAGCATGTGTATAAGCTTGGCGTGCAGACTCACCGACCCCCATCCGTAAGTCTGCACGCCAAGGTTGAATACAAACTACATACAAAGTAAAGCTCATTTTCTTTGTCGTAACAAACTAGGCTTCCACGGTTGCTCTGGTATCTCTTTCCTTTACATTATTCAGAAAATTATAATAGCGAAAAATAAGAAGAAGAAAAAACTTCACTGTACTCAATGATACACATCACCAAGCGAAATACCAATTTACAGTCTGCCGAGGAAATTCCAGAAAAACTTTGGAGACAAAGGGGCACAAAAAAGGGGACAAACGCAACACCGTTTTAATTTTGAAATGGTGTCGTGCTTGTCTCCTTTTTTTATTTTCTTTTGTGTACGTGTTCCCTTGTCGGTCGCTAGCTCGCCTGCGCACGTACCCTTATTTCCTGCCTAGGAACACTGATTATCTATTCATGGATCCTCATAAAGCACCACACGAAATGTATTTCATTTTTTTTATAAATAAAGTTAATAGTTAAAGAAAAAGAAATAAAACATTTGTCTGAGTTAAAACTTTGTGGAAGATTACAACTCTGACGCTTTCACTAGTTTTTTCAGAAGTGCACACTAGTTGGTGCTTTGCGAATCATGCGAATCCGCCATTGTTTTTGACACGCACCCTAATCAGGTACCGGACGCGAAGGCTGCGTCCGTGTTCGGCGTGAACTCTCGGCTTAGTTCGAATCAAGAACAAGTGCTGTGACTCGGCGTTAGTTGAGGACACGGATGCGAGCCTACGCTTCCTGCCCGAGAAACAGTGACTTCCAATGCTGCTCCATTGGGTTCTAAAAAGGGTCTATTGGTGTCGCTCGTGAGGCGGACGACAGAACAAAAATAGGGATCCCCCTGCTGTACGGTGGCATATTCAAAGATACTCACATTTAAAGGGGGAAATTATAAGTGTTTCCCAAAGCCTGAGGGTTTGGGGCTCCATCCGTGGGATGATAAGGGCGAATTGTTTTTTGAGTCACTTTCTTTTCTTGTTTGCTTTCATGCGAAGTATGCTCGGAGGAAAGGAGATGTTCGGCAAGAGTGGATATGGCACGCCTTATAAAACCGGACCGATAGGAAACGGAGTGTAAGTAAAAAAAAAAACAAATCTTTCATCAGAGATTGGTTATTGGTTAACTGAGAAGCACCTTTTATTCGATTCTCACCAGGAAGGTTCGGCTGGAGGTCAACAACAAGTTTGAGGTGAAGACCTGCTACAATATTATCGGCACGATCAAGGGAGCTGTAGAGCCAGGTAAGTAAGAAAAAAGAAATGAAAGCAAAGACCACGTCAGACTTGTACATAACACGATACCCGTACCTTATTATTTGTTATAAGGAAATAACGACCGATTTACTTTTTATGAGAAAGAGCGAGCAATACATTTTCGCTAACTTTTGATAATGTAACGAACAAATACATATACCTACCGCTACTTCTGGAGAGAACGTGTGCAAAACAAGTACCCAGCCTAATTGCACCACGAGTGAACGCTGGATAGACCATAGGAAGATGCGCACAAGGTTTGTCCCTATAGCCGCAGCTTTACCTGAACGAGTGCGTTAACAGCAGGGAATCAGTGAGGACGACAAAGATTGAAAGCGGCTACTGTTGTGTGGAACTCTAGAAAGTGTCTAAAGGGCGCGAGTTCCCGTGAAGAGATAGCGGTTTGCTGTGCTAGGTCCACGTGCACCCGTGACTTTACCTGTACCGTAGAAATTTGTGAGCTAAATGCTTTTAAAAGATCGGTAGGAGGGGATGAGAGCAGCAGCCAGAAAGAAACCAATTTGTGTTTTGAAAGATTATGAATGGGAATATTTAATTCTAAGCGGTGTTTATTGACTAAAAAAATTATTGCATTGCCCCTTTAGCTGTAAGCGTGAACTGAGTATAATGATGACGTTTGGAAGGCGGGGTAGTAAAATAAAAAGTCCGGCTCCTTTATGTGCATTATTATTTTTTTTTATTTTTACGCGGGGAATTAATATATTGTTTAGTGCATTTTAGATAAGTTGTTTGTAGGTCTATCAAGACGTATACGTTTCAAATGATAAAAGCGTTCTTGCTTCCCCCGACAACCAAATATTGCAAGCACGACTACACGGCTGCAGCGCACGAACAGGACCCAAACCTCGTGTTTTTTTTTTTTAGGTGGTTGTATTGTTTTAGGTCATAATATAGTGGTGTTCGCAAGCGCGTGCTCGACCCTGTACACGACGCGTCTCCCTCAGACCGGTACAGCGTGACCGGGACGCACCACGACGCCTGGCTGTACGGCGCCGTAGATCCGTCGTCGGCGACGGCGGCGCTCATCGAGCTCACCAGGTTGCTGGGCAACGAGGTGCGCAGGGGCTGGAGACCCCGACGGACCATGGTGTTCTGCATCTGGGGAGCCGAGGAGATCGCCATCGCGGGCTCCCAGGAGTGGGTCGAGGTAACTCTACCAGGAACTAGGGGTGTCGCGAACCGGCCGCGGTTCGAGTTCGACCAGGTTCGACTTTTTCGAACTTTTAGTGAAAAGTTCGTCGAACCTTGTATTGAGGTTCGACTCGTGTGCGCATGCGCGACAGGCTGGCCAGTTGGCTTCGGATTGGATGGTAATGGCTAAGAGATGAATTAAGTGCAGCGCTGATCGGCTATTTCAGTCAATACAGTACTAAAATTTAAGTTATTAACTTCTTCAGTGAATAGAATTAGTTTCTTTAAATTGCAGCTGTTCACACAATAAAATAACCCTTTGCATAAAAAAAGAAATTCTCCAAACCTAGACATTCTTGTATCAAGGTCTGGCCACACTGTCCACAAAGTCGAACCGGTCGAATCTGGTGAAAAGTTCGAAGGTTCGTCGACCGGTTCGACCCAGTCGAACCCCGAAAGTTCGACCTAGAAATCTGGTTCGACTAAAGTTCGCGACACCCCTACCAGGAACATAGCCAAAATGGCGGTGAAACTAGTTTCGTACATTCGTTAGGTATACCGCGTGGAATGAATCATTTAGGTTCATACCAGACTAGTACGACACTCGTTACGAGTAATCAAATTACTTGTAATTGATGAATTTTTACAGCGGAGCTGTTAAGGGCTAGTTTCCTCAGGATCGTGGCCCTCGCAGAGAAATGAAGACACCGAACTCAGGAAGCCTACCGCCATCTACGTGTGACGGTGGCAGGCCACGTATCTGGTTGCCGCCGTCGCTCATAGATGGCGACAGCCTTTCCACTCTGGCTTGCCGACTTGCGGCCGGCCATTACTTGCCATTGTAAAGCTCCGCTGTTCTTCCTTCTTCACCAGAGTGGCTGAAAGATTTCTTGTGTAATTATGTAATCATTTGAGCATAACTGTTAGAAAGTAATCACAAGACTAATTTGATTACGCTTAGAACTACTAAATTTATTTCTAACCGTTGCTATATCCCCTCCCGTATTTAATGGCGTCCTTTCGTTCTACAAGTTACCTACTATGAAATGCTTGAACCAAATCTCCGACAACACGAAGTTTTATCAAAATTGGTAGACTAAAAAGACAAGTTCTTTTTTTTGTAATTTTGGGACCGTAATACATCAAGGAACAGTATACTAAAGGCGCGTCTTCGAACCGGCAGAAAAATCTGTCGTTTTGAAAATTTAAAGCAATCGGAAAAGTAGCGGTTACCTTTTCAAGCAACAATCAAGTAATTTAGATTAATACGCTTTAACGAAGACTAATAATAATTGCAATTGATTGCTTTTTCAATAACGTGTACAAGTTTGGTTCCTACCCAGGTACCACGCAGGAAAAATGCCTAACCTGGAACGAGCCTCGGCAATCTTACGCGGAGAGCAAGTCAGGTGCTTCTTGCGCAGGAGTTGTGGTGACGTCAGAACGAATCCGAGCTTTAATTTGCCTTGATTTAAAAAATAGTGGGTAGACTTTAATACTAGATGCCTTAACCTCTACCCTCTATTTTCTTCTTCAATCAGCCAATAAGAGCTTGGCGCTCTGACATCATCGCTACTCCTGTGCAAGAAGCAAGCAAACTTGCGCTTCGCACAGGGGCTTGACTTGAACCTAGTACGCCTTTTTACCTTCACGGTAGTTAACAGCTTCAGAGCACTTTTGTTTTGGTGTTTTGTGGCTTCTTTTTGTCTCGTCACGCAATTTTCAAAGGCTCAAGTTAGAGTTAAGGATGGCTCGTATAAATCGAACAACAAGAAGTTAAGCCTAGCTCAGCCACTATTTTGGCGATATAGGCTCTGATGTGCCAGATGACAGGCGAACTATACCAGCAATGAAGAACTGACTTTAGTACAATTCTGGAGAATGAAGACAAAAAAAAAAACTCCAGGGAAGGTTAAGTTTTGCTGCACCTTCGTTTCTTCGAGCTTATTAAGGCACTAAATTCCCAGACAACACTGTGATTCTCAGCTAGATTTAGAGGGGAAATCTTCTCGGTAAATTTAACGGTCCACGTCGTACGCGCACAAAACACACACGGGAGCCGTTACAAGACCTTTATATAACGGTTATTGCCGTAAAATAAACGCTAGACAGTCGACTACATGTTCAAGGTGCCAGTTCGCATGTGTGTAATCTCATAGATAGGTTTTTGACCCAGGATAAATTCCTGCTCCTTCATCATGGCGCTGTGGGCTACACCAACGTGGACAACTGCGTGTCTGGTAAGAGGCTTGACTTGGCGATATATAGGGTGGTCCAAGTCACCAGGCTCGATCTAAAATAGACCGCAAAAATCTACGCCTGCACGTAGCCATCTAAACTTTTCGTCAAAGGTGTATTTCACAGGTCGATTTTTCTTGCAAAAATTACAAAGCGTAGTTATTTTTCTGTCAAAAATAGGGCCAAGAAACTTGCCAGGGTCTATGGCAGGCGACAACCCAAACGACCAAGTCCAGTAGCGGGGTGTGTTTAAAGTTTATATTGATAGATGGCGTTGGGAGCAGCGTCCGAAGGTGCAGCCGACCAGCGAAAGAAAGCAGACGACACGCAGACGAAATCCGTTGACAGCAAACGCGCCGTCGTTATGCAAACGTGTCTTTTCATTTTAAGTCTTGCTTTCATTGTACGGATTCATTTTTTACCCGAAGGTAAATTGAAAAAAGATTATGTTCATTTCAATAAACCACGGTTGTCGCCAGCCGTCGCGATAAAGAGGTAGCGCCATCTATCAATACGAACGCCAAACACACCCCGCTACTGGACCCCCGTCGTCTGCGTCGCTGCCCGCCGTAGAACCCAGCAAATTCCTTGGCCTTCCAAAAAAAAATTACTTCTGTTTTCTGCTGTCAGTTCGAATGAAAATAACACTACAGGAATGTGTCCGCGTTCCTCCCTGCGGCCATCCGTTACTGAAACTAATTAATTTTTAAGGCTATAGCTCGACCAGAGAACACTCCATGGTCCACTCTTGCTCGTGTTAGTCTCACCGCATGACACCAAAATATCTCCTGACGTCGCAGTGTCAGTGATGTCATCATGTAACCTGACGTGACAATTTGTTCGCTGAAGAAAGCCGGTAAATATTTCCGCTAAATTCCGATAGAATGTGCTGCCGGTTCCAAAAACCATGAAGTGCTATCACACCTCCATTGAATTTGTAAGCATTGGGATTTATTTTTTCTTTCCTACAGGAACAATGTTCTTCGCCTACGCTTCGCCCCCATTCACGAACCTCGTTCAGGAGGCCACAAAAGTGGTGAGTGCTACCTTTGGGACAGAAATGGGGTATGGCCGATTGGTTGCGGTTAGTTGGTGTTGCGGGTATCCCTCCCGGTGGCTAAAATCTCCCGCAAGAAGAATATTCCAAATATACGACCGGCTTTATAGGAAAAATGTACCCATACAAAAAAAAAAAAAAAAAAAAAAAACTTCGTGTCAAATATTTTTTGACACGTTGTCAAGACTACCATAGCTTCCAGTTGGCACTGCAGCGATGGCACGTGGCTTCGTCTTGTGTCTCATTCGCGCTAGCTTTCGTGCGAAAGAGACGCCAAACGAAACGACGCGCTCGCGCAAGCAGCTCCGAGAGCGTTACAGCACTGTGAAAGCTGCGCTAGTGTTGACTATGCGCCGAGAAAGTGAGGAAGAGGGGGTGACAAAAGCGCGCGCCGACGTCAGAACGCCGAGCTGTGATTGGAACGATTAGTGGGTAGAGCAAAAGCTAGTAGCATTGGTCTCCACATGCATCCGTCGAACGCGTTAAAACGCGGAACGCAGGCGTCTGGCGCTTGGTTTTCGCGTTCGAACGCGTTTGACGACTCGAGTGCAGACAAAGGCAGCTAGCTTTAGGTCTACCCACTAATCCTTCCAATCAGAGCTCTCGGCGTTCTGACGTACCCGCGCGCTCTCGTCGCCTCCTCTCCCTCACTTTCTCGGAGAATGCGGCACAAAATATTCGACGCCGAGACAAGCAAATGGCCGCCGTAATTCCCACGTTGGTATTTCCGACCTCGCTTCGATTATTCGAGTCCGATTTTGTGCGCCGAAAATAGGTGAACAGATTTGAAATTCAAGGGAATGTGAACTGCATTCTTGTTTTTCGGGAGCGGCTCGGAAACTTATTACTGAAAACGATCATGTGAAGCGAAAATTAAAGAAAATAAGAGGCATGCCTTAAGTGTCCTGAGCGGAATTGGCTGGAACACTCGTACTCCCTGCCCTCTAAGCCGGTCATGTGACTAGAAAATGCCTCTTGCGGCTATTTTAGCCGCCGGGAGAGATGGCCGCATTGATCAGTAAACCGCCACTGGGGCGGATGGCAATAGTCGATGACATGTCGAGAGCAAAGCAAAAGCTCCTCGCACATCTTTCCACTTCAACAGACAGAACGCTGGAGAGCGGATGACCTCCTTTCCAGCGCTCGCTCTGTTAAAGTGGAAAGAGGTGGGAGGAACTTCCACTTTACTCTTAACCTGTCACCGACTATGCGGGTATTCCACCCGGTGGGCATGAGGGATCTTTAGGTCACTTGACAGGTTCCGTCTGGGGGAAAAGCACCTATGCGGTGAACAAGTCGTCTGCTTTTTGCGCAGAAGTTGTGGTGACGTCAAAATGACGCAGAATTCTGATTGACTTTGAAAGGATGTTCGGTGGACCTCAATGCTAAATGCTTCGAGGTCTATCCGCTATTTTATTTCAATCAGTGAACAAGAGCTCGACGTACTGACATCATCTTACCCCTTGTGCAGGAAGCAGACGAACTGGCGCTCCGCAAAACGTTCGAGCCGATTCCACTCAGCAAACGTAAACCTTGCCTATTGTTTGAGCTTTTTTTTAATTCTCGATTAGCACTAGCTTGTTAAGAAATAACTCTACATGGCGCCCCCAAAGAATATAATTCGTTTCGCTTGCGTTCCAAGCCCGATCACCCTCTTTCTACGCGCCAAATTAGACTCGAATAATCGAAGCGAGGACGAACTCATGGCAGCCGTTAGCCTCGAACGCAACTCGGCGTCAACTATCTTCTGCTACGCTGCAAAAGCTAGCGTAGTTTCTACAGTGTTCTCACGCTGTCGAAGCTTTTGCGCGAGCGCGTCATGTGACCAGAAAATCCCAGTAGCAGGGAATTTTAGCCACCCGGAGTGACACCCGCATCAGAGGCCAACCGTCCCTGGAGGCAGTCCCATCCAGTCGTCCTTAGTCTAAGAGATATGTGCCGTTTCTATCATACCATTCTGTATGGTCACTCACGGGAAACAGTTTCCTGACCTCCTTCGATAGCATCACGTTTAATCGCCGAGTTCTCCAACCCGCAAAACTGTCAAAGCATTAATAATAATAATAAATATATATATATATATATATATATATATATATATATATATATATATATATATATTTGCTTAAAACTATGAGAAGCGTTAAATGACCAAACGGGAGAGCTGTCAAGAAAAGTATAGCCGTATAGGGAAGCCCGTATGAACGTTTGCAAGTACTGTCTCTGGTCGCCGCCATGTAGCTGCTGGTGTGGGTAGGTCGTCTGATAGTCAAGCATTGCTGAGGCCGTGGGTACGCCTCAGCAATGCTTGGCTATCAGACGATCTACCAACACCAGCAGCAAGATGGCACGCCCAGTGGTCGTACTTGCAAACGTCTAACTTGCAAGGAACAGATAAGTGAAACTGTGGAGGGAGTTCGAAAAACACTGCTCACTCCACGTTTCCCCGACTAGTTTCGAAGGTCGCTCATCAAACTCACAGCAAATGCCCTCGTGTGCATATCCAAATATAGTTCGACAAATATCAAGGCTATGTCGCATTGAAGGAGTCAACTCTTTCGCATAATCCTGGTTCCAAGCTAAGCCAGCAAAAAAAAAAAAAGCTGCAATAAACCGAGTACCTATAGTTCTGTTGTCAGTCCCAGCACGCGCTATCCAATACTGTTTTCTTACAACTTATTTTAACTATATACTGTGTGAGCTTTTCTGTACGACCGCCCATATCTCGTCGCTCGCTCGTCAAAGCCGGCTCGGAACATTTTAAGGACAACTAAAATAGGCTATACTAAACTGTATATTTGGCGACCTTAATTTCATAGGCATGCTTTAAAAAAGTATTTGAGGCGCAAACACAGGTTACGAGACGCGAACAGGCGAATCAGAATCCGTGGCGGTGTGAAGCAGTGGGAAGAAAGAAGAGTCCATACCCTGAGCAGATCTTTCTGCGAACATACAGGGGCTCTAGACCAGGACATGGCCCGCAGCATCCCCTAGCCAGAAAGGGGGGGGGGGGGGGGGGGGATTTATTAGCGATGACGTGAAAAGCAAGCCTTGCCTTCTACTTCTTTTTGCACCGTTGCAAAGTGTTGAACGTTTTTCTTTTTTCTGTGTGTTTCGTGTAGGTACCATTCGATGACAAGCAGTCCCTATATGAGATGTGGACTGATTACGTGTTCAATAAGGCCAAAATGAATGAACTTCCGTGAGTATATACACTATAGACCAACTCAGCTTTATGACGTCAGGAGACTGCGGTGGCGCTGCTGTCTTTACTGCGCATGCGCAACTGCTTCGCCCCAGGCGAATCTGCTTTTTGCGCACGCGCACACCCGCTTTGGGCAAACACTGGCTTGTCTGTAAACTGTACCTCGGTCGATACATCACTTCAATTCCTGTGAAATATTTGCACTCGCATTTTTTTAATTGAAATTGGTTCAATATAATATTAAACAAATCTGAACTAAACATACATATTTTAAATTTCAGTATATTTTGGGGGCGAAATTATTTAATTTTTAATTTTGAAGATTGAGAGGTTTTACGTGTTAAGACTGAAAACCTGATATCAGATATTGTAACAGGGGGAGGGGGCAGCACATCTTGTTGCCGACGCGCTACAACACGTTTGATGGTGCAAAATGATTGCCAGATAAGCCTGCAAAAAAAAGAAAATGCCTATAATATTGTGTCTCTTAGACTGCCTATTCGACTTGCAAGGCATTCATAATGTGACGTCACTTCACCAAAAAGTGCACGAAACTTCAAGTTTGGTTTTGGCGTAACATAAATTTGCAATCTTTTTTAATAGCCCTCCTGACATTAGAGATAATAAATAGCATGCCAGGGAGAGCATTGCCAGGGTATTCCGCAAATCTGTTCGACGTGGTAGCTCAAAATACCTCCACCGCATTCAAAGAGCAACCTATAAGGTGTGCTCTTCGATATATAAAATACTCAAGCATTAACAACCTTAAAATTGTGTTTTTTGAAGAGCGGTCATCATCTTGTTTTTAGTCATTTTTGTGTAATAAGCCCTGTTTATTTTCAAGAGATTGATATGAAAACGTAGAGGTTAATGCATAATTTGTTCTTCCTTTTTGCTATTTCAAAGGAAACCTTTTAGACTGCAACTTTATGAAAACAAGATTTCTACTTGCTCAAATCCCAGATTTATTGTTGTTGTTGCTTGTGATGTTTTTGTTGCATTCTGGTACGTTTATATAAAAACGTTTTCATTTAGGGTCATATTATAGGCTAAATATGGAATCAGGATTTTTTAATGCCTCCTTGATATTTGTTGTGTAAACTCAAATTGAATCAGAGTAAATTCAAAAGGGTCAAAAGAAACTGACAAATCGTGCCATAGCCTAATTTGTTTTAATCCTGCCCGTATTCAATCCAAATAAAATATGCAGCACCAAAAACAACTAATTACGCTATGTCGAAGCCAAGTTCACTTTCGTAGTGAGATTCTAAAAGCAAATATGTTGTGCAAAATGTTACCCGGATTTAATTACGAAATAAAAGAAAACGTGTCTTAACCGATTACAAGGTCCGTCCGAAAAAAAAAAAAACGCGCCAATTGTGAAGAGTTTCGCGTACACGGAAGATTAGGCGACGGGAAGTGACCTATTTTCAATGTATTTCGAAGGTATCCCTGCTGTACTTGAAATAAAGTCACCCATATCCACTGCAAGACACTGTTAACGCAAACACGACGTCTGCGCTATCTTTTTCTTTTAAATTTTACTTTAAAAGGGTTTCGGCGGGCATCACAATTTGCCACTTAGGTGCCTACTCAACGGGAAAACTTTCCACCACTATAGAAGTTCCTATGATAGTCTATCACTTCTCAGAAGAAAAAAAAACGGCTATGACTTGTTCGCACTAACAGTGTCGTGGACTGCATACATATCTATACCGTTCTCTATGCACCGTTTCATTTCAAGTCCAAGTGCTATAAACGCTACGAGCCAACGAGGCCAATCGAGTTTCTTGGAAAGCGCTACACGGAATGTTTCGTGTTTCTAAGCGCCTGTTGTCACCAATCAATCCAATCAATCATGGCGAATGCATCGCGACATTGCGTTTTTAGTTTGCGAGTTTGTTTGCATTTCAACTATCCTCCGATCCCTTAGAACATGCGACGGAGTGTAGGCCTGTAGCTCTCAAGTTTGGCCATCGCCACAGGCGAGCAAACTCTAATATATCGAATACAACTGCAGTTAGCTTCACGATGAAAAAAATCAGATACTGGGAATATATAAAATAACGGCCAGGCATATACATGTCGTCTCAAAAACATGACACGGAGCTTTTTTTTTTATGGACATGGTGCGTGTGCGTGTTTCATATTTTATCTGTTCCCAGTCTCGATTTTCTTTTTATTATGGAGTCAATTCACCGGCTCGCCCGCGTATTGTATAGCGAGCAAGACAGTCGTCTGCTTTTCGCCCACGGTGGGGCGTTCGAACGTGGAAGTGCCAGAGTCTACACGAGGAGCAGACGACGTTCTTATCGCCATGATTGGAGGGAAACAAAGACAGCTAATAGCCCTTCGTGTCCACCCACTATCCTTTCAATCGGTCCTCGCGTCGCACCAACCTCGCCGCGCATGCTCTTGTTTTCTCCTCTCCTTCAGTTTCTCTACGCACAACATTGGGTTCGTTTTGTCTTTGCAGCATCACTGTGCCGCACGGAGGAGCGGACAACAACGCGTTCAACCATTTCGCCGGCGTGCCTGCTGTAGCGTTCACGTTCCGACAAGATGCTGTAAGAGACCCCATTGACCCCGTTTGGGTGTCGATCAAAGTGCTAACTATGGTGCCCGGAGCAGCGTCTCCGACCGGAATGTTTACTGCGGCTTAAAAAATGTCAGCTCGTTTTCCGCCTGATGACGTAACAGAAGCGTCATGCTGTCGTTGGGCACGATCCTGGGAATGGTGTGGAGCAGCGGACGCCTGGTCTGCTGCAGATCGCTCTCCAGGTTGACAGTCCACGAAAGCTTCAGCGGTCAAAGGCTGGAACGTCGCGACAACAACGAAACTTGTTTTCGCTCTTGCTTTTCGACAGTGTTTCTACGATCAACCGCCATGATCGCGACGTCCGACACCATGGTGCACGCGACTTTTGGGGCGGTATATTGGTTGCCACTCTTGTTGCCAGTTCGGGACAACATTTGATGTATGGGCGGCATAGGATGCTAGACACACCAGTCGGAGACGCGATCCAGACATCATAGTCTGAACAAAAGCAAATGGTGCGGACCTTACAAATTACACCTCTCTTGATCATCGTTATAAACCCGGAAGACAGGCGCTACGTCTTTGAATTCGCAGAGTCTCCCAGCGTAATCTGGTCTGACATCTTGCAAATCCCCGATAATGTTTATTTTTAGTTGTGTCGTCATAAATGTTTTAGGGAGCGGTTTTACAGCTGATGAATTCGGCTAAATTGTTTCTCGCTTTTGGTAATATATGGAAATGCCCTGCGACTTTCTTTTGTCTTCCTGGCGTATGTTGTGATTTTTTGCAATTGTGCCCCGATTAGCGCTGAACATTTTGTTTGAATCTGAGTGTCAATACTCACAACCTATTATTAAGCCATCTATAAAACGATGGTACCAGTGGCACCGCTCGTGCAATGGCAGTAAAGAAGGTAAACGAGCGCTTGGTGTCTTCATCACCCAAAATCGCTCGCGCTAACGGCAACCACGACGTCACACATTTACTTTTAAGTTCTTTGCAGACGACACGTCTGCAAAGACGTTTCGTATTTTGCACATTCCACCGACACCTAAACCGATATGGTTTAGGTGTCGGTAGTATAAGCAAAAAAAAAAAAAAAAATCTTTCGTCTACCATTTTATTAACATCATATATCCGGGCTTCATTTTCTACTGAAGATAAATATATATTTTTAGAATTCCTAGTGACCAAACTGGCACACTGGCGCCAACTACGAGGGGCATCCATACAATTTGTGTCATCGGCAGGTACAAAAAGTGAAAGCCGTTTAAAACTTCCTGTAACGCCGAATTGGAGCGCAGCTCTTGAGGAGGAGGAGTGGAGGGTATATTCCTCCTCCTCCCTCGTGATCATGCCTGCTAGTCCTCCTCCCCTCCCCTCGCCTCCGCCTCCTCATCTCTCCTCCCCCCCCTCCTCCACCTTCGTACTGCTTTCCTCTTTGCCGCTCAAGCCGGAAAGGGTCGCGTAAGAGCTGTGCTCTTACGCGACCCTTTCCCCCCCGAGCCATACTAGACAATGAGGGGAGGAGGAGGAGGTGGAGGAGGAGGAGGGCAGAGGTCCGGGGGGTCACGTGACCTCGAGGGGACGGGATCACATGACCTTGGGCGGGCCGTCACGTGACTTCGGCGGGGGGAGGGGAGTCACCCCCCGGGGTCACATGACCTTGGCGGGGGAGGAGGGGGGAGGAGGAAGAGCGGAGGGGGAGGAGGAGGAGGGGGAGGGGCGACGCCGACGCCGACGCCAACGCCGACGCCGCCCAGGCTGGAAACGGGTCATGTGACCCCCTCCCCCCGAGGTCACGTGACCCGCCCGGACCATACTACACAATGAGGGGAGGAGGAGAAGGAGGGGAAGGAAGAGGAGGAGGAGGGGGAGGAGGAGGAGAGGGAGGGGCGCGGTTACGCCGACGCCGACGCCGACGCCGACGGCGACGGCGACGCCGACGGCGACGCCAACGGCGACGCCGACGCCGCTCAGGCTGGAAACGGGCCCCTAAGAGCTGCGCTCTAAAATATTTTCAAATATTTGTGTTATATAGGACAAGCCCTCTTGTGGTATCGGTATGTTTATAGGGTTTCTCGCAAAATGCCCACTGATTCGGCTATGCAGAATGATTTGCACATGACTAAAGGCTGGCACATTCTAAATCATTTGCACAGCATAAAAGCCCCCACCCGCTGTGTTCCGCAACTACTCAGGCCTCCGCAAAAATAGTGCCGAAAGGAATCTTTAAAGAAAATGTCAAAGCTTTGCCAAGCCGACCTTGATGACTCCTTTGATCGCCTAATCCCCATAAATGAGTGTTTGATTTCTCATTACGATGAGACGAAGAAGGGAAGTGAACAGTGGAAGCATGCGAATTTATCACGGCGAAACCGGTGTGCTCCTGACAAACTATGCCTGCAAGGGCCAAACAGCTATGAGGAAATATTGCCGGGACCGCATGACCTGGTCACAGGAGGCCATCAAACATCATGGTAAGCCGCCAAAGGGAGTGCTTTTGCTCCACCGCAACAAACCGGTGATGCATGCGGCAGCTTTAGGGGAGAGAGGAAATTCTTCCTCTTTCCCAATATTCACCCGTCCTGGTACCCAGTGACTTCTGCTCTATTATTTTCACAAAGAACCCACTGCGTGGCCACGTTTTTAAAACGACGACGAGCTGATTGTAGAGGTGGAACGCTGTCTTCGAGCCAAATTGAGGTCTTCTAGAACCAGCTGGTATTCTCCAGCTCATCATCTGATGGGAAAAATGTGTCACCTTGTGTGACGCATATGTAGAAATGGAGCTAACCCACTGACGTCACCACCGACGCTTGTGATAAAGCTTTTTTTTTCTTTTTGCACGGTGATGGCACACATTTAATGAGCACGCCTTGTATAAAGTAGACTTACAACCATTTCGAGCTGAGTATAACAAGGCTAAAGGCTTCACAAGAATTTTGATATCAGATATACGCAATATTCATTAAAAATTTGTTTTTGTTTGTATTCTGATAACAATGCGTATATATACTCAGATCGAATTTTTTCCAGAGCTAACCGACAGAGGGCGGCAATGTTTTATCTAGTCGAAAGCCGTCCCAAGCGACCGTAGCACAGTCGATAACAGTCGGACACCAGTGTGTGAATCAGCGTTTACTAGTGCTTATGGCAGCTTACGATGAGATAACGCACTTGTGGCGTTTATTGGCCGGCCCTGACCGACTTGCCGTAGGAGTGTATTTGCTTGTTCTTACGCATAAGCTTTTTTTTGATCCTGAACCTGTAAAATGTTTTGCCAATGTTATAAGAGTTGTCATTGCTATGACAATGACTTTCCTGGAGAGTAGATTTGATTTCGCAAGTACTGCACAACCTTCAGTCGGGCTCAGGGCAGGAAGCGGGCTACCTAATAGATGAAGCTAATTGGCTATATCGTTTAGGGTGCCGCTATACCAGCGCCGCGCGTCCAGGGTGCCAGACTTGGTCAACCTTCTGTCTGCTTTTGTCGGCGCCATGTTAAGACAGTGGTATGAAAATTACCGTAAACGAAAGGTTTTCCGCGCACGAACTGCCTCCCCTACAGGTCTTCAGAGGTAAAGGTTTCCAGAAAGAAAAATCACGTACGTACAATACCGCTATTGTTGACATTTAATCAGAGCCCTTGACTCTAAGCTTAGTATTCCTGTCTTCTTTCACAAAAAAACATATTTTCAGTTATTCACACTGGAAAGCAGCAGGACCCATTGTGGTCCTGCCGTGTCAAATTGGATCCTTCACGTTGTTTACTTGGTGTGTCAGCCTCACATCCGGGCACCCTGATCTCGTTGTAAACTATCATAACAAGCCGCAAAGCAGTCAGTCGCACTTGAACATAAATGCGAAAACCAGTCCTAACGCTTCAGTGGTTGTGGTTTCACTGTGCAGGTCAAGTACGGCTATGGATCGTATCCCTCGTACCACACGGCGTACGAGACGCTGCACCTATACGAGACGTACTACGACCCGACATACAAGTACATGTCCCTCTGCACTAAACTGTTCGGTGTGCTCTCCGTGACCCTGGCCGAATCCTACATCCTGCCGTATAACTTTTCGAGCGTCGCCGCCCGGTACAAGTTGAACCTGATGAAACTCCTCGTCATGGAAAAACACCTGAAGGACCACGACGTCTCCTTGGGTGAGTCTAGAGCACACTCTAGGGCAATCAGTTATGGTGCAAGGTGGAGCTCAAGTTCGTCTGCTTCTTTTGCAGTAATTGAGGTGACGTTAGAACGTCGAGCTCTGATTGCCTCTAATCAAAGGATAGTGAGTAGACCTCAAGACCTCTCGCTTTGAGGTCTACTCACTATCCTTCAATCAGAGCCAATCAGAGCTCGACGTTCTAACGTCACCACAACCCCTGCAAAAGAGGCAGACGAACTTGACCTCCGCATAGACGGCTGTGCCTAGAACGCGTCTTGGACTGGCGTGTGTATCACACTGGCTGTGTCCCAAATCTTACCCAAAGAGATCCGAGTAACTCCGGCAGGTCGTGTCACGTGATAACACTAAGAGAGCGACGCTGGACACGGGTAGGTCTTCGAACGCAAAGGTATATAACCCTTACAGGTCGAGTAAGTTTTGGAACACGGCCCCTGTTCCGTCCATGCATCGAAAGTGCATGGTTCCAAAGTGGAGGCAAATTGTGTCAAAGGAGCCGGCGTGTCATGCTGTCGGACGTCGCGATCCTGGCGGCTGGGTAAAGAAATACTGGCGAAAAAGACGAATGGACGCGGGGGTCGCTCTCGTTGGGGCGTCCCTGCTGGTGTCTGCTTTGGTTTCCGTCAACTGCCTGGCTTCAGAGCGACCTGCAGCAGAACAAGCCTCTGCCGTATCCATCCTGCAGCTACTGCGCCGCCGCCATGGATCACGGCAGGCAACAGCGTGGTGGTTTTATGACGTCATCAGGCGGAAATCGAGGGACCACTCTTGAGAAGCTCTAAAAACACCGATCGGAGGCGCTCTACAGACACCCTAATATAGACGTCTGCGAGTACGGCCTCTTGGTTCCGCCATCTCGCCTCTGGCGTGTGTGTGACGTCTAATAATCGGGCCTTGATAGCTAGGTCCTGTCCTCGGTTGCCAGACCGGCATCCTGACAAAGCCTTTTTTTTTATTCATTCATGGTGGCCAGGCTTGTTTGTTAATCGTAGATGTGTTCACACGACCATAGCTTCGCTAGGTAAGAGTAGATGGTTGTACGTACCGGGTGGGGCTTAAAGACTAATACATTTGGCGTGCCTTGTAAAATTTGAACCCCGAACACACATACTTGAAATTTGGCATCCGAACCGAGCTTAACAAGAAGTTTAATGCATATATTTGTTTTTCTACACCTAAATTGTGACGTAGGAAAATATTAAATACAAAAAAAATTGAAGGCCGTGTATTTCCCATGTCCTATACTAGCCACTTAGTTGTCTGCAGACTGCTTTATGAGCTCGCTTACGACTGGCTCGCTGAAAACCTAAATGGAAAAGGATGGCCCCGGAAAGACCGCCCCGCAATGAACCGCCCCCCAAAAGATGGCCCTAGAAAAAAATCACAGAAATAATGGTCCCAAGTGTCAGGTAGAAAACCAATGGCCTCAATAGACCAATCCCACTAAGCCTTCGGCGCTTGCGTGACGTCGCCATAACTTTAGTTCACGGAAGGCAGACAGCCATGCATGCAAGAGCTCGTGCCGTCTCGTGCTCCACAAGCTTAGAGCTCCCGCGAGGTTATTGCACGTGTAGAAAGACTAAAGTTCCCTCAATGCGTTGCGGCAGCGGCGGCGTAGTCAAACTGGCTGATGAGATCGGTCTATTAGCGATAAAACATATTGCCCGTGGAACTCATTTTTAAGCGCAAGATAATAACCTCTCAAATTTCCTCATGACAGCAATCAAATTATGGTTTGAGATGATGACATTTTTATTTTTTGCCATGAAAAGAAACGGGAATAGACACTTCCACACAGTACAAGCAGAAACGTTTTAGTAGACCGAGCCCACCAGGCAATTTCATTATGCCGCCGATGCCGGCATGCATCGTGGGTAACTAAACTTATGGCGGTCTTTTTGCACGCGCAATTCAACCCCGCCACGGGTCTTCGCGGGCAGAACACTAGACGGCACCGACTGGATTCTTCATTGTCGCCTGCCTTCTGAGAACTACAGCTGGGGCGGGGTCACGCATGCGTGGGATGCTTGGTGAGATCGGTTCATCGAGTAGTATGGCCGACAGGACTCAGGAAGTCCTCAGTGCGTCATCCCGGCGGCATACTCCTCACGGAGGTTTTCAGGACGGAGTTTTATTTCGAAAAACGCCGACTTGCTTTATTATTATTATTATTTTTGTTTTATTGAGGAGCGCAGACTCGATTCTGTGTCATCTTTATGACTACTGTCGATTTCTCTGAGCGTAGGGCGTCGATGGCCACGATTCAATGGCTTATGGCTATCACCGGGAATGCTTATATATATATTCAACGCTGCACACTAGTATCCCAAAGTTACCCCGCCCTCCCCCCTCTCTCCCTCACTTCTTCTTTTACTGTGAGATAAAATGAAGACAATGGCAGCCTTTCAAACCAAAATGCGATTACTCTGTTGCAGGAAATGTTCGGTGTTCATATCCTTCATTTAAAAGTGGGCTCCGTGGGAAAAATATTGTTTTTCTTACCTCTTGGGACCATTGTTTCTGTGGCCATTTTTTTTTTCGGTACCTTTCTTCTTTCTTTTTTTTTTTTTGGGGGGGGGGGGGGGGGATCACTTACTCGAAGCCATATTTCATGGGACCATTTTTCTGGGAGTCGTTTTTTTCGGGGCCATTTTCCCCGAAACCACTTTTTTTGAAGGGCATTATTCAAGTTCAGTTTCTTGGGGGCTATTTTTTCCGCGCCCATTCTTTCCCGGGCTACATTTTCCTGAGGTTATTTTTCCCGGGGCCATTTTTTCCGGGCCATATCTTTTTTGCAGTGCTATCCCGTGTGTATTGTTATGTTTATGCTTTCCCTATTGTTGTTTACGTTTCGCAAGGTTTCCCCACTCTGCCTTTGTATGTGCCACGCTGAGTGGGGGGGGGGGGGGGGGGGGGGGGGGCGGGGGAGGGGGGTTCGACGCCTCGTCAGGCATTTTTAATCCCCTTCTGCGACGGCCCCCTAGACAAGTGTTTGATGTAGCTGTCTGAGCAATAACATTGTATTGAATTAAATTGAATAATTTTTCTCGGACTATTTTTTTAAAACCTTCCTTGGGGCTGCCTTCCGGGTCAAAACAAAGTAGAGCTGTAGACCCGTGAAGTTTGTATTTTTTTCATTAATATTTAAGGACAGCTCCAATTCAAAATTTATCGGTCTTTCTCGACTTGGATAAAACTCCCTCGGGGAAAAGTTTTGGGGGTTTATGGGCAGTTGCCGAAAACGCGAATACCCTAATTATGATGCTGAGTTTTCATCGTACCGTTCTAAAATATCGTGCGTCGACGCAGATTGGCTCAAGCAAGAGACGGACGGGTTTGCAGCCGCTGCGGTCAAATGGCATAACAATATTAACGCCGAGAGGCAGACAATGAGGTAAGTACGGCTTTCTACAAAACGACTACCGCAATATGCTGAAAGATAGCCAATCCTTCACGGAAATCAAATTGATCAAAAAGGGTTGTGATTCTGGTGGTCCGAGGGGGAATTTTTTTATAGAATACGATTTATAACACGCCGAGGAAGATCGCTCAAATTCGCTCCTGGAGCACTCATTCAAATAAACCGATGCCACTCGACGTACTTCCGACTTCTAAAGCTTGCCAAAAATCAGTATGGGAAACCTTCGCGCTACACTTTTTTGTGTGTATGCAGGCAATGTTCGTAGCTCACATCATATGCTTTTTGCGATAGGTTTCGCCAACCAGGGCTGTAGGAGAACAAGCATTCAAATTTGGGCCTTATGCTTAATAGTTCCTGCCGTCCCTTGGCGTCGAAACAAGCAAGCGCTTGAGCAGACGGCTTGTCAGCGGCCATAATGGCCCCAGCAAATACGCCTCGATGACCTTGACGGTAAAACAAGAGGGCCAAAAGTGGGTTGCCAAAATCTGTCCTCAGCCGGTCATGTTCTTTAAGTGCAGCCGTCTGCATAGTGATTAAATCTCGGATTGTTCATCCTGGTATGTTTTAATTCATACTTTTTTTTATTCGGCTGACAGCAGGCTCAGTCACATCCCCAGATATTATGTGTTGTTTTTTTTAATTCTTTTTATGGCGGATGCCATATTAGAGCGCAGTTCTTAGGCGCCCGCTTCCGGCGTCGGCGTAACTGCGCGGTGCGTTATGAGAAATGTACCATAACCCACCGCGCGGGGGGAGGAGGAGGGAGGAGGAGGGGGCGAGGGGGAGGGGGGAGGACGACGGGGAGGGTAGGAGGAGGACGGAGGAGGACGAGGGGGAAGAGAAGGAAAGAGGGGAGGAGGGATGAGGAGGAGGTGAGGAGGGAGGGGGAGTAGAGAGGAGGAGGAGAGAAGGGGAGGAGCTTGAAGCATGAGGGGAGGAGGACTAGCAGGGAGGATGAGGAGGTAAGGAGGGGAGGAGGGGTATACCCTCCCCTCAGTACCCTTCCATCCTCCTCCTCAAGAGCTGCGCTCTAATTCGGCGTTACAGGGTGTTGCAAACGGCTTTTAGAGCGCATGTCATAGGCGCCCGTTTCCGGCTTGAGCGACGTCGGCGTCGCCGTCACCGACGGCGACGCTGACGCCGACGCCGAAATTTAGTTACTTAGCCAACTTATCGCAAAGATTAGCCACCCACATAATGTCTCCCTTGCCGTATGTTGTAAGAACGGCTGACTAGTCGTTAGTAGATGAAGTCAACAACTGCATTTATATACAAATATTTACATTAAAATGTCCGGCATCGTCCGCTCATGGCCAGGCCTCGATCCATTTCGTGCATTCTATATCTCGAGCTCCCGCTTCTTTTTCCTCCTTGTGGGGATGCCCGCTTCCATACAATAAGTTTCAACACCGTATAACTCACCTGCCCAAACCGCATAAATGCATCTTTTCTGACCTTTTGTAATAAACATGTTCGAATTAGAAAAAAAAAAGAAAAAAAGATCACGCGATATATAATTGCATCGTTATCGAAAATTCAAGAAAACTACTTTGAAAGGCAATCGAATAGACGAGTAAACAAGAGATAATCACTAGCCGTCTTCAGTCTTTTGAGGCTTCTGCGGAACACTCTAACTGAATTTGACCGAAAGTTGTCAAATCGCAAATTCAGAGAAACAGTTCCCTAGTGTTCATAATATTCACCTCAATTGTCGACACCGCTTTTTATTACACAAGACCCAATAATTTGAAACTATTCCTCTCGTTTATAGTGACACCAAAGTGCGGATGCTGAATGACCGAATGCTCCTGATCGAGAAGACCTTCCTCAAACAGGAGGGCGTCAAAGACAGACCGACTCTAAGGTAATTCAGTTCTTGTGGTTACCTAATGAAAACATCAAGCATGGTGCCTACAACATCACCTCCGACTGATGTGTTTGACCGCGTCTTAACAAGTTTGTCCCTTCTTTTTCGCCCGATGACGTCATAAAAGTGTCATACTATCGCCGGCCGCGATCCTGGCGGTATCACAGCAGGGGTGGTGGATTCCGCAGACGCCTGTTCCGCTGCAGATTGCTCTCCAGCTTGGCAGCCCAAGGTAGCTTCGGGAGCCAGAAGTTAGGACGCTACAACGACGGCGACACTTGCGTTCTCCCGCGCTTTATGCAGCGTGAGCTACACTGGCCGGCCGAGGTTGAGCATGTTTCGCGTGGCTCGCATAATCAGCCGTGCTCCGTGTTGCGCAAGCGCGAGGAGCAGTGACGTCAGACAGCGCACAGTTGGCGCGCCGGAGCCGCCGCCGCCTCGGGTTCCGCCGCCACCGCGCACGCCTCGCCGGTCTGCGCAAGCGCGAGGAGCAGTGACGTCACACAGCGCAACGCTGGCGCGACGGAGCCGCCGCCGCCGCGGGCTTCGCCGCCACCGCGCGTGCCTCGCCGGTCTCCGCATTCCAGAGGAGTGACGTCATAGCCGCGGCAGAGGCACTGGCGCTGCCGCGTGCCCAGCTGTGCGCCTCCGTTGTGCAGGAGCCAAGTCTGACGCTGCACCGGAGCCGCTTGATAGCGCCTCTCATTTAGTGCGCATAAGCTCACGCTACGTATATACTGGCATAGCCCAGCTAGGCCACCGCAATTTTTTTCCCCCAGAACTTGTACTCCCAACCGCCAGAATCGCGACACCGGACAGCGTGACACTCCGACTTTTGACATCCTTTGTTTCTACTTCGGAGCCACCGTCGATGCATGGGTAAAACAGGACGGGCCGATTCACACGACGGACTAATCAGTGGACGGATTGATCACGTGACGATACGTCCGCAGTCCGTCCGTCTTCCAAGCGTGTCCACTCGAGGGAGACGACGAGCAGATGCCAGCGAGGACCGACCGAACTTGCTCGTCACCCACAGTGCCGCGAAACTCCAACATCGCATCGATGTACGAGAGAGAAATCGCCGTTTGCTGCCACAATAAAGAATCGCACGCCGCTGTGACGTACAAATCGAGACAAAATACCGTGATAGGCTTCGCGTAAGCGCCACTAGCTTTACTAACCCAAGGCATGACTGTGACACAGGCATGGTCCTGCTCGAGAAACGTTCGCGGAGGGGCGTTTGAAGATACCTTCACGCACTCGGCACTCGTGAACACTCAAGCGCACCGCAGCCACAAGAAAGGTCTTGCTCTGTGGAAGCCTGATTGGACACGCAAGAATTATCGCGGCGTGCTAGACGACTTTTGAAGGGAGTTGCTTCTTGACTCGGACCCTGGAGGAGTAGCGGAGAACCCGTGTCGCGTCAGTCGGACAGAGTTTCTGCAGTTTCTTTCACTCGTAGGACCAAGAGTCGCGCGACAAAATGAATGAGCGAACGCACAAAACACAACAATGTGCCATTTTTGTTTTATTCGTCAGGAAAAAAACAACAACAAAAAAATAAAATAAAAAGAAAACATTGTATCGTTGCCAGACTCAAGTCCATCTCCCGCCAAAAATCCGTGAGTGAAAAGGGCGCCCGAACTGTATCACTCCTGTGTGTCCGCGTGTCCGCGGACGAGGCGCGGATCGCAGGAATCGGTGACGTGACGGTCACGTGGTACATGGTCGGCGGACGAAAATCGCAATTCGGTCCGTCGCGTGAATCGTCTGTAAACACACCGATGGGAGACGCGTTCGGGGCAACGGACTTCAAAGAATAGATTTGAAAGGTATCGGTGCTGCTATAGTCGGTTGCAAGCTAAGAAAAAACCGGAAATGCATCTCAGAGGAAAATGTAATCCTACGCCGAGAAACGCCAGCCAATCGTTTTCATGACGTCACGATTCCGTGGACCAATCGCGATCCTTTTGAAAAAAAAAAAAAGCTCAACATGGCTGCTGGCCTTAGCAACGCGACGGTAGTTTCTCGTGACAATTATTCTGCTTTTTTGCACCGTGTTTTACGTGCCCGAGGTTACGCCACGAAATCTTAATGGTATCGGCTTGCGTTTGCAGCAGTTTTTGCGTGACAACGTGAGATTCCAGCGACGCTATCGCCAACGAAAATTTCGAAGCGGGCGCGAGGCTTAGCACTGCTGAGGATCAGCTCCCGCTGGCCGCTGTTCAAAACCCGACCTCGCTTGTGCTTCTTGAAGAGCCGCTTTGGTGTCGCCGGTAAGGCTGCACCAGGCTGTTTCGTCCAAGAAGAATCAGGGGAATCGCTTTCCGATGTCACCTCAGTAGGATCCATGACGGAAGACAAAGAGAGCGGGGCGCGGTGGTGGCGCCGATGACTTGGGAGGGTGCCGATTTGTCAAAACCCGAAAAGTATAATCATTCTTGTTTTCTATTCATCCAACAAAATAAAGGCACACATTTCGTGCGCAAAGCCCACAAAACTAAGTAAATCACTAAATATTTATTATTTGCAGGAACTATAAGTGATTCTCTTTCCCTCAATCGAAGGCGCTGGAAGACAGTATGTTAGACAGTATCTTGGGCAGAAAATGAATTGGGAAGACGGTACATTGAACATGACTTCCTTTCTTTACTAAACAGCTATTTCGTTGACAAAAACGTATTCTAACTTATTAAATGTCCTGAATGAATTAAATAAATATTGTAGTAGTTTAAGACACGTTTCCTGGAGGAAGTAAAAGCAACGTTGCTAGCGAACTACTTTCTCGACGGCGGAAGCACTTCAGATGGGCGCAATGCGCTTGTGGGTGGAGCTAAAAGATTGTTCTCAGGTTGCATCCGACTATAGTCACTGGACTGTTCATTCCCCCCGCGTCGGAGCAGCAGATGTGGGATGTTTTAATGTAAGGTGAATAGTTCGAAGACCAACAGCTTTGACAATACGAAACGAGGGGTGTGTGATGGAACTCATACAAGGCAACTTTTTCTTTTCTCGCCATAGTGGTGAAGAGGAGGCCAGGAAGAAAAAACAAAACGTGCAGAACATGGCGGGTCCCCCAATCCCCTAGAATGATACAAAAATAACAATTAATGAAAGCAAAAAAAAAAAAAAAACGAAAACGCTGGGTGTGACACACTTCTATTTGATCGAAATTCCATCGAAACGCAAAATGCTAATAAACCGACCACATGTTTTGAGATAATTACAATTCAATTACAAGCTCGTATTTCCATTTCGCAAAGTAATTTCGTGTATGATAAATGGTAAGGAATTGCATGCTTAAGTCGCGACCAGCGCAAGTGTTGAAGAAGCACTAAAAATATGCATTCTAACATTTTTCCCCTAATTAGTTTTGTGAGTTTGGCGTGATGGGTGGGGTATAGCTTGACATTTTCTGGTCAGAAATGCAAGACCACTCAGAAATTGCAAGTCAGTTTTTTCCCCTCGAGTTTGAGACTAGCGCTCAGCCATTTGGACTAGTGCTCAGTCCTAACGTCTCTGCGCTCAGCAACAGCGCACACAGCTATGGCGGTCTCGACTGTACGACCATTCGTCTAACGACCATTTCTAACAGGGTAATCGGTATTTAGCGAAAGTGAAAATATCGTTTCATGGCCCCTTTAATTCACCGATGAATGGGGAAAACTTGTAGCGTCCCGCAAGAAAACGCACTTTTTTTTACTGCGGTTCTCGAAGTAATTACGAGTACAGGTGGTGTTGGTATAGTGCGTCGGCTTATACACCACGACCTGTCCACGCAGGCATATCGGACTGGCACCACAGCTATCGAACGCCTACGCTGGCACGGGCTACCCGGTCATCCACGACACTGTCTACATCGCCAACCGCACCAAAGACGGGACGCCCGAGAGCAAGGCCGCGTGGCACATCATACGCCGCAACATCAACGACTGCTGCCTCGCCATGAGGAACGCCAAGATCATGCTCGACACCGAGCTAATCATCTGACCCATACAGCGTTCGGTGTCTCCGAAATACTCGCTTCGGAGTCGACCACGGAGTCTTTTCTATCCATGTAGTTAAAGACGAATTTTTGAACAAGATATCCGTTTCATCAGACCAATTCTACGAGAAAACCCGTCGTGAAGAACCGTCACGAAGACTGTGATATCACGCGACGTCATGTGAGACCATAGTTTGGCGTGACGTTATATGGCGCCGTGACGCTACATGACGCTGTAACGGCGAGTGTCATTGTAGCGTCGCGTGTCATTATGACGACACATAGAGCCGTGACGACACACAGAACCGTGACGTCACGCGAAACCATGCGACACCGCGATGTCATGTGACGGCGTGAAGTCACGTGACATCACATGATAGCGTGACATCACATAGTACCACTTGATTCTGTGGCGACACTTGACGTCATATCATATGACGCTGTGACGTCACGAGACACTAATGTCTTATGTGGTCCCAGTGATGCGACCTTTCACACGCACACGTAGCATGTGCCCAGCTCATTCAGAACACGTTCTTCGATGTCCAGTTTATGTGAGCAAGATCAAAATAAGGCAATTGGAAGGGGGGAGGGACAAAGGGGGAGTGGGAATATGAGAATGAATGTTTCTTAAAGGAACAATGAAGACGATTTTATTTAATTTTTTTAAATGGTGTTTTTAGGCTTCTTGGGAACATAGCATGCTGCCCAATTTTTTGTAGACATTTGTGACGCCTATTTTTGTGCCTACGAAAGAAGTAAAGAAACCGAAACTGAACAATCTCCATTCTCGTTTCTGGACCTCCGAAGCGGAGGTGACGTAGGGAGTGACGTCAAGTGTGAATAGTCGGTATCAGTAGTGTTTAGGAGATCTGGCGCGGTCGTTTCGTCGAATCTGTCAACATGGACGGCAATATGCCGCTCGCGCGATCGAGTTCGAGCTTCCTTTCAGTGACCCAACACGAACGGAATGGGAGTATGTGTGTGGCGGCCTCCACCATCACCCGACGGAGACCGCCCAGCCGGTAATGAGCGGCCAGCATGCCGAAGTGCCCATAGTTGCTCGTTGGCCGTTTCGCGTCCCGCGTAGCAAAGAAAAAAAAAAACAATTATGCTGCTTTATTTACGCGTTAGTAATCATTTCCGGTCCGATTTATACTTTTCAAGGTTATTCAAGAGGAAATTAGAACAGTATTTCTAAAAATCACGAACCAAAACGTGACCGAGGGCACGTCTCTCGTTTCGACCAATCGCTGACGTGTCTCTTGTGACGTCGCGCTTCTTGGCCCCGCATCGGTCACGTGAGCTCCGCTTCTCCTGGCTTCTCCCGCAACTCTCGGGGCGTCGCCCCAGTCGGTCCCGGTACGATTATTACCGCGACTGTTTTATTGATTTGCGCGGCACACAAGCCCCGGTTTCGGCTGAAATTTGGGCAGCGTGGCCTGAGACATGCCTGGAACCCAGTTCAATCGCCAAAAAGATGTCCGAAATTGTTGTCCCTTTAAATGCAGTATTTGGCAAAGCAGTATTTGTCTGAAATGCCTGTTCTCAGAGCTCCTGTTTGCGCCAATGAACACAAAGGTATTAATTAATTAATATTTTTATAATACAGTTATGTAACGTTGTGCTCGGTGGAGTTCGGCGGGGGAATAAGGGAAGAACACCTGTCTCACGTGCTTTGATAGCGTTTCTAGATAATGCAAACAACGCGACACAGTTACCACGGTAAAGCATTTACTTCCAAAGGGTACTATTGAGCGACAAACTTTACCGCTCATGTTAGTCCCCAAGTGAGCACTTTCAGGTCAGCCAACTACAGTCGGTGACAGGTCAAGAACGAAGCGGAAGCTCTCCCTACTTCTTTCCACTTTAAAGGGGCGAATGCTGGAGAGGGGGCTACTTCCTCCTCAACGTTCGCTCTGCCGAGGGGGAAAGAGGTGGGAGGAGCTTCCGCTTTGTTCTTGAACTGTCAAAGACAATAGCAGTTCTTATACTAGCCCTTTGATTCTATATAAGAAGAAAACAAAACCCAGTTAATCGTTTTTGCGCTAAAAGTATGGCTTTTCCAGCCAGTTTCGGTCTACAATCGCCTAGTGCATCCACCGACACAGGTACGGTTGTTGTTTGCCTTATGATTTGGTCCTCATAAAAACAGCTTCATTGCGTTTCCTTTTTTTTTTAATTTGCGCTCTACATGCAGCTGCGCATTCGCATTTGTATGCGTCACAGGCTGTGTGTGATGTAATAAGGATATAGCGAACCTGTGACTCATTTAAAACAGATGATTCATGTCTGTTTCTGTTTTGTAAACGTTACGCTCTAAATGTTAATTGTAGCTGCATTAATCTACTGCATGCAAGCACATACTGTTCTTATCGTTGTCACTGACAATAAAATGTTGGCCGCGAGAAATGTGTCGAGCTTGTGTTTGATCGTAATGCAATTCCGACTTGTCATTAGATTCCCGTTTAGGGCATCGACGCGCCAAATGCATTGTGGAATAGACTGCTTCCATAAATCCGTCATCGCGCGCTCTGCATTCTGGGAACCTGTGGCCGAGGAAAGGAGCGTGTATGGATTATGATTCCCATTGATTCTCACAATTCATAACGTGGCATTACGCTGCCATGAGGCGCTTCGAGTTTTTGGAATAAGTATATTGTATACTGTGGGGGCTTCTTATCGAATTCTGTCGTCTCACTGCGATGATAGATTGCCCCTAACCCATCACTGGAGCTAAATGACCGGATCCGGGTCGAAGCCTCTGACGTTTTGCAATCTGTTCTTTTTCGTTTATTTGTGTCTGCGGATACATATTCTGCAGAGGGGGTCTAAGGCTAAAGGCACGAGTGCCTGACAAGGCCTTAGCCTCCTCTTGGTATGCAGCGAGCTTCAACGTACATGTACAATATGTCATATACATAGAATACATCATACATATCATGTACATATACATTAAATTCATATAAGTTCAGTAGCCAAATCTAATGCTGCCAAATGTACGGTTTTATAGCCTAGACATACTAAAACAGATAAGTATTAGATACATATACGCCGTATAATCCAATAGTCCAGATCACAACAGTTTATCGGTTAAGAGTTGAGCTTGTTGGTACATACTTGTAAATATATCAGCTTGAACTTTAGAAATAACTAGAACACAAAGAAAGAAAGGAAAGGATATGACACACAGCTGACTACCAACGATATTTTAGTGTAAACTTCTTCCTTGCGCGTTTGCTCCTTCCTTTTGAGTTCCAAGTGGAGTACGATATACCTATTATACAAATTACCCTATTCAACTAATAAAGATCACTCCCGATATTTACACTTATACAGGTTAGTTCAAAAACAATAATTTGCTAGAAATTCTGTGCAAATGCTTTGTATATTTTTGTATAAGTGTAAATATCGGGGGTGATCTTTATTAGTGAAATAGGGTAATTTATATAATAGGTTTATCGTGCTCCACTTGGGACTCAAAAGGATGGAGCAAAAGCTCAAGGAAGAAGTTTACACTAAAACATCGTTGGTAATCAGTTGTGTGTCATATCCTGTCCTTCCTTTCTTTGTGTTCTAGTTATTTCTAGAGTTCAAGCTGATATATTTACAAGTATTCACAACAGCTTTACACAAGTTTACACAACATATAATTTGACAAAATTATGCCGAAAAACATGAAGCTACAAAAGAAAGAATTTAAAAATACAAATGGCATTTTTATACAATAACTTGCATAGACTGAAAAGACCGTTAGAAAGACGAAGTAACGAGAAAGGTAAGATCATTGCTAACAAAATATGATTGCAGTTTCAAGAAAGACGAGCAGTATCTAACAAAATGTGAGAGAACTGCACAGTAAATTTGTTTTACGATCTCTTTTGAATAGACCGATCTCACCAAGCGTTCCACGCATGCGTGACGCCGCCATAACTGGAGTTCGTAGGAGGCAGACGCCAGTTCACACGACAGCTCATGCAGCCCCGTGGTCTGCTCGTGCAGACCTCCAGCAGGGTTGTCGCGCGTGCAGAAAGACTACAGCTCCCGCGATGCACATCGGCAGCGGTGGCGTAGTCAAACTAGCTAGTGAGATTGGTCTATTGGGATATTGATACATCAAAGTTTTATTCGAGTGCGTCACGATTCAAAATTGTAGCAGTCTGGAAGGCTAAAGTTTGTCGTCCGTAATTTGTTCGTATTATAGGTACTTTTCGTTTCGGTCGTCGAATATCGTACACTGGTGTTAGTTCACTTCCTGGGGTTTGGTAGGTTCTTTTTCTGTAGATTAATTGAAGCACTTTAAAATTTGATTTGCCCTAGGCATGTGGTGTTTTAAAAACAGGTTCTGTATTTAGGTTTCGTACGTAGATTCCTGTAATCACCCTTGTAGTCCTCGAGTTTACGTAAAATTCTTTTTTGAAGGATTATTAATTATAGCTTGAGGCCGTTGTTGTCCCCCAGACCAAAATTGCGTAGCTTAATTTTGAAAGAAACAAAGAGTGATAAATATTTTTAAGCAGCCAACACCGGTTAAAATTTCAGATTTTATACAAAGTGCTTATAATTCTGGACAGGTCACCTTTTAACTTGGTAATATGACATTCATGACAATTCCTCACTAAACCAAACACCCAGAAATTTTCGCTCGCTTACTTGCTCCAGTTCCAAGCCTTCAAATTTGATGCTTGCACTATCGGCGTTCCGTTTATTTACTGGTTTAAAAAATTATGTATGTTGTTTTGTTTGAGTTTAATTGCAATCCATTTCCTTGAAGCCTTTGTGACAGTTTTAAGAGATATGCGTTTGTGGCTAGTTCAATAAGTTTTGCTTTTCCACTAAAGAATATGTTAGAATCATCAGCATACGTGATTACTTCCTGCGGGCCAGATATTTTGGTGAGATCGTTTATATATATTAAAAATAATAAGGGGCCTAAAATTGATCCCTGGGGAACACCATGTTGTATATTTAAGTGGGAAGAGGATATCTTATTAATAGTTACATA